TTTTCTTTTTTTAAAGACTTCTCTTTTATTTTATAAAAACTTTTTAATCTTTTTGTCTATATTTATTAATTTAACTATGACCTCTTAGAACTAGTTGGGTTGGTCTATTATATTCTTTTTTTCTATTTTTTTCTAGTCTTTCTAATCTTTTTAATATTAGAACTAGAATATCTTTAATGTATAAGATTTTTCTTGTGGCTTAGTTTGAACTATCTTTTACTTCTTTATCTTTTTTTGACTCTGGTCTTTGGTTACTATGTTTTTCTGTCTTATACTTTGTTTCTATAGTTCCCACTTCTTCAATTACTTCTGTTTTCTTTTGACTTTACTTTTTTCTATTTATTAGTTCTTTTGTATTTTTCAGTTCTTTTTTTAAACTTGTATCTTTTTATATCTCTTTTTTTCTTTCTATGTCTTTTGCTTTTTGCTACTATCTTAATATATTCTTTTATTATTTCTTTAAGCTTTAAATTTTCAAAACATTAGGATTCCATTATACCAAAATTTTTTTTAATAGTCATGTTTATATCTGTTTGGCTTTTGAATGATATTACTATATAATCTCTTGGCTTTCTCCATCTATTCAGTAGTATATACACTGGTATTGCTTTTTTAACCTTAAGTTCTTTTATAAAATTTAGTTTAGATATTCCTTTTAGTATTTCTTTTAGTCTTACTGCAAACTAATTTTTTTCTTCTTTTCTTTCTTCTTCTTCTTCACCTATTATTATTTTTGCAGTTTTTCATTTCTTAGTATAATTATCTATAAAAATATCTGTTCAGCCTCTTTCTTTACTTTAATTATTGCTGTCATTCTGTATATACTTTTTCTCATTTTGTATAAGACTATATCTTCTGTTTTTTTAGCAGATACTTGATCTTTTATTTTGAAACCTCTTTTAGTAAGTCTCATACAGTAAATGTTAATAAGTTTTCTTTATTTTTTATATCTGTAATTTCATCTTTTTGACTCTTCATTTTGGCTCTTATTTTTTTTTCTTCTTTTGTATTTTCTTTTCTTTTATTAAGTCAGACCTCTATATAGTTACACTCTATATAGTCACACCTCTATATAAGTACCCAAAATTATAAAACAGACTTAAATATAGAAAATAAACCTCTTTATAGTTACAAATTGCTTATAATCACTATCACTGTAAAATTTAATTTTTTTAGTTAATTTTATTAATAATAAATCTTCTTATAATCACTAATTTTTAAATGAATATAGATTATTAAATCTAATTAGTTAATATTTATATCTACACATATTTAAAATTTGGTATTAAAAATTTAAAATCTTCAATTATAAATATCTTTTGATCTACTAAACCAATTTAAATGAAACAACTACCAAAATGTTCATCTTGATGAGCTAATTTTAATAAATACAAAATTACTAAAATCTGATTACAGTATCCTGAGATCACTAATAATTTGTATTACTACAGATGTTTAAACATATAAAGTAATACAAAACATTAATGATCTTGGGATTCTGTAATCAGATTTTAGTGATTTTGTATTTATTAGAATCAGCTCATTGAGATGAACATTTTGGTAGTTGTTTTATCTAAATTGGTTTAGTAGATCAAAAGATACTTGCTATTGAAGATTTTAGAATTTTAATAATAAATTTTCATATGTGCAGATATTATAATTTCATTGATCAATGATCATGTGATTTTAACTTGGTATTTTATTTATAGTCACACCTTTATATAATCACCAAATTAGGATGCAACCAACTTGGTGATTATATAGATATCTGACTGTATTTTTTTTTTCTTATTTGTTTTCTTTCTTTTCTTACTTTTAGTTTCATTTTCGTATTAAAAATTATTTTAAACCAGTCATTATATTTCTTTTAGATCTTATTAATCACTTTTTTTTTCATGTTTACAATAAAAAATAACTACAATCTAAATATTATCCTTCTTGAATATTTTTTGACTTTTACAGTGTATTTGTTAGATATTAACAGTCTTTTTATAAACTTTGTTTTCTCTTATTTTGAGCTGTCTAGCATATTGTATACTGGTATTTTTGTTATATATATCAGTTCTTTGCTGCAATCTCTGTTTAAAAGTGCTCATATACTTTGTTCTAATGGTGCTTTTATAAAACTGGTTCTCTTTATTTCATAATTTTATTTATTTCTTTTTTTTCTTCTTTTTTCTAATTACTGCTATTATATTTTAGTAATCTTTTTATATTATATTTATCTTTAATGTTTTAATTTCTTTTTTTATATATTTATATATTGTTATTTTTTCTATTATTATACATTTGTTTTTTGTGTTTTCTTTATTCTTTATTCTTTTTTATTATTCTTTTTTTTCTTTATTTATGTTTTGTTAAAATTCTTTTTATCTATTACTAAATCTACTATTTCTATCATTTATTTTATCTTTTCTATATACCTTTCTGACATAATTAATTTTTCTTTTGATATTATTTGATTTTTCTTACTACTTATACTTTTTATTACTATTGGGTATTGGCTTATATAATTTATCTCTTTTGCTTATTTTTATATACTAGTTGAATCTTTTATATCTACTTTAATTATTGCTTCATATATATTTTTTATATTATCATCTCTATTAAGTCTGTTTTCTATAATATTACTATAACTATATCTCTTACATTAAAATGGTTATTTTTATTTGCTAATACTTATTTTAACTCTTTATTATCTATAAGGTTTAGTATTGCCTCTATTTTTTTATTTAACAATTTTAATGTTATAAACTCTTTTGACTTTATTTGTATCAACATTTGGCTATGTTTATATAACTATTTTTAAATTATTTCTATTATATACACTTTGTAATACTTATATATCTATTTTATCTATTTTTATATATGTTTGTTTATTTGTTTTCTCATATACTCATGTGCTCCAAAATAATTTGCAATTTCAAATCAATGCTGTTTTTTTTAAAATTTTTTTTAGTTTTCATTTTATCAAATTTGTCTTCTTCTTACTTGTTATATCTTTTATTCTCTTTATTATTACACTTACTAGGTCTGTTTTAAGTATTCTTTCTTTTTGTTTAAGTCTTTAACTATTGTTTTAATACTGGTTTTTATATAAAATTTAATTTCTTTTTTGTGTATTTTGTATTTTAGTAATTAGTAATAAGAGTTTTTAATTCCAATTATAAGTTTTTTACTACATCTTTTTTTAAAAAATTAATTTTTATAATAAAACTTTAATAATTAATTTTAGTAATATATTTTTTATATAAAAAATATTTTTAAAACCCTATTTTATAAATTTTTTAATGAACTTTTTAGTTTTATTAAAAAACTTTTAATTTATTAAAGTTTAAAAATTGTATAATATTAGGATTTGTTATTAAAATAATTTTTAAGTTTTCTAAAATTTTATATGTTTCTGAAACTAAAAAAATATTTTGTTCTTATTATAAATGTTAATTTTTATATATAAATTACTAAACTTGTAATAATTAAAATTATAATTTTAATATAAACTAAAAAATTGTATTAAAAACTATAAGTTTAAAATTTATATTTAAAAAGTTTATCATAGATAAACTAAAAATTTTTTTTATCAAACCTTTTTTTAAAATTATATATTTTTGGTCTATAATAACCTAAATTTTTTTTCTTATAATTTAAAAATAAATACTACAAAAAGGTAATCATACAAAATTTTATTTAAATATATTAGTATTTTAAAAAAGTAAACCAGAACTAAAAAAGTATAAATTTGCAGATAAATTTGCTTATGTTAGTTTACATTCTAAGTGATAATATTAATTTTTATTTTATTAATAGTTATTATAAATATTTTATATTTTGTATTATTATTAATTTGATTAGAACTTAAATAATAGAAAATTAAAGAGATTTATTGAAAAAATATTGAATTTATTAGAAAATTGTTATATATATATTATATATTGTATTTTTTAAAAAAATATTTGGATATTATTCAAATATATAATAACAATAAAGTTCTTTGCTTCTTTTTTGATTATTTTATTTTTCTTATTTAATGAATATACAAATTCTATAATTATTTTACTACAATACTTTCAAATTAATTAAGACATTAATAAAAAATAGAAAAATATTTTTAATTTATTTATTTGTAATAAATATTTGTTAGTAATATTAAATTCAAAACACATAATAATTTTATTAACCATTTAAACAAATTTAAGTTTATGATAAGAACCTAATTTTTTTAAAAAAATAAACTAATAAATTAAGAAATATTAAATTTTATTTTAAGCATAATGTGAAATTGAAAGAAAATACTTAAAGTTTATAATTTTGCTTATAAAACCACTTTTGACAATTTAATAAAAAAAAAGTTTTAGAATTTTTCATATATGTAATGTATTACCACTTATAAGATCATGTGTAATATTAAATTAAAATAATAATAAAATTACATTATTTTAAGGTCAGAGTTAACATTAAACTAGAATTAGACATAGCTTTACAAAGAAAGATTTTAATCTAAAATTTAGCATGGAATTTTTTATTAGAACGTAGTAAGAGGTAGTTTTGTATGCAAAATCTTGAGTTACAGATGATTATTCAAAAAAAACAATGTTTTGCGTTGATTTCACATTACATTCTAATTGGTCGATTAGGGTAAAAATACATCCTATTACGATAATTTACAATACCCATAAAAAAATTCCTTGCAAAATTTTGATATAAGAATAGCTTTTACTATTACTTATCTTGACTCTGACACTTACCTTAAATTAATGCGTTAATTAGTTTGCTTTGATTTCACGTTACACCTGATCTTATAGGTGCGTTACAACGCATAATATAATGATTTTATTAAAAATATAATTTTTAAAGAAACAAAGCTATTGAATTATAATAAGTTGGTTTGGTTACAAATTATTAGATCAAATCTATTTTAATATTGGAAAATATTACACTTTGTTTTTTTAACTTAAAAATTTATTAATAGATATCAATTACATAAAAATACCTTAAATATTTTAATTAACATTATTAGAATTAAGTTTTTGTGCATAAACACGAACTATATGGTAATAAGTATCATACTCAAATAGCTCATCTTTTGATGCTTTAACCAACTTATCATATTCATTATCGGAAATTTTTAGCGTTTTCATTAGCATTGGCTTAAGAGAAGAATATAAATCAGTCATATTTCTGATAGCCTATTCATGTTATATCCGGTTAAAATCTTTTAAAAATGATTTCCTAAACAATACATTTGTATAATACATTACCACTTTACTAAGTTCAACATTATTTGCCTTTACACCATGATAGCATGTTTTTACTTCTTTTTTAATATTTTCTAATTGACCTAATTTAATAAAAATTTCAATTAATTATTAATCAATTATAAAAATAAATTAGGTGAAGGATTAAAAACCTTGAGTTTGTACATATTCTTTTAACTTTTGATATGTATTCCAATCTACGCCCTTTTCCTTCATTAACTTTGCAGCTTTATAAAAATTGAATGGAAAATAATGTAAGTAAAAAATTGAATCTATAATATATCTTTATGATACATACCTGTAAACCATAAAAGCTGATCAGCAGGCCCAGCATCAAACAAATAGGAAAATTCACACAGCTAAATTGAAAAAGAATTGAATCAAACAAAGAATTTACTGTATTTAAATTCATCAGAGATGAGATTCACCTCCTTTTGTACTTTTATAAACAAATTAATGCAAATTTTAAAGTCGGAATTTAAGCTTTAAGGGTAAGTCGATTACCCATAACATTTTTTGAGATCTAAAGTATTCGGTGAATATCATCTCCAGTAAACATTACAATTGAACTTATTTTAAAACATTAAAATAATAATCACAAATCTCAAATAAGAATACCTCTAAGAATCCACCTGGCTTTAAAACTCTGACCAATTCATTCACTATGAATGGCCACTTATCTTTTGGATAACTAGCAACCAAATATCGTTGAAATACAAAATCGAAAGTGTTATCTTCGAATGGTAATCCTTCTAGAACATTTGCCTTAATGAAAGTAAAATTTTTAGGTTTTATCTGTGTGGGTTGGTATGGTGATATGTCTATCCCAACAACTTCAGCCAATGTATATCTAGAAGATTTATAAGTGTAATAAGATCTGAGTATAGTCAAGGCATTGCTTTTATATAAAGGTATACTCACGCGGTTGCCACATCAAATGACCATGACGCAGCGCCACACCTAAAACGTAATACATATAAGTGTTGGGTTTTTTTCTAATGTACGTATGTATATGATTTGCTTATAATTTATTATTTGAATCATAACAAATGCTTTACTGAATATAAATTTTGGTGATTCCTATCGGATTAATCCACTTATACTTATTTAATAAGATCAATAATCAATTAAAGAAAAACTTAAAAATGCACACTTTAAAAGTTAATCAAGATATATTGTTCCTGAATTTAAATTTGCCAAATTTATTTTAATCAATTTCATTTTAATTTTTTTATATTTACTCGAAAACTACCATAACATTTACGCACCCAACATCTAGAATTTTGGATCCTGATTTAGATATAATATGTTCTGTGGGAGCAGAAAAGTTGCTTTGCCAAATATATCTTATCAAAAAATGTTGTAAGTGTAATCTATCTTGTTCATCTTCATCATTTGGTAGAGCATAGAAGGAATTTTCTACATTATGAAATCTTCTACCAGCAACGTATTGAAATTCTGTCTGCGAACCTTGTGAATCGATAGAATTAGCTTTGTCGCTTAAGTTAGACGTATTACACCCCATACTGATGCACGATAATTTGGATATTCTTGTTTATAATCAAGATTTAAAGTAAAATTCAGGAAATCAAAATTTTTTAGTTTTTTTCAACTAGGCGCTTGAGTTGCGTAAAGGGAGTTAGAAATGAGCACGATATATTGTATTGTACTGGTACATTACGCTTGCATAACAGAAATCGTTAGTTTCGGATAAGCATTTATGCATTTATAATTTAACTAGCTGATCTCGAACGAAAAACTTTCATACTAAATTAAAGTATGACATTGATCATCGCATATCAAATTTAAGGCATACCAGTAACGTCACAAAGTGTATGGCTTATTGTGTTTTAAATGGGATCCGTCCGCAAAATCTTAAGTTTGATTGGTTTGGTACGCATGATTTATTCATCAAATTTTGTTTATTTTTCACACATGAATTCATCACGCATATTGTCAGAGGTAAAACCGACACCCCATAGAACCTGCGAAAAGGACGTCATTGTGGCATACTTACCTAATTGGAGGTGCCCATGACGATCCATTTGAAACATGTGCGCCCGGCCCCACGAAAGCAATATGACAGTACACAAGCCTCCATGCGGGACCCCACCACCCCCTCCAATTAAAGAAAGGTCGACTTGGACCAACTTGTTCGCGCTGGGAATGGACGTTGACTCCACCTACCCTACTTGGGTTAGGTGTGAGGCGATGTCAAGGGGGGGTGCGATTGAAGCCCCGGGATAGTAAAACTGAAACATTTCTCATCGGTTCTATGAAGACCGTGAGAAATGTTAAAGTAACGAAAGGCT